CTAAATGATACTGACTTTTGAAAGTGCTTTACCACAGGAATTAAACTATTGAGTTTGACTTTTTGATAATAAAAAGTGCTTTACCACTAGAATTAAACTATTGAGTTTGCATTTTTGATAATAAAAAGTGCTTTACTATGCTTACTAGGTGCTTACATTAAACTATTGAGTTTGCATTTTTGACCATCATATAATCAAATTAAATTCCATTATTGAAATAGAAATCACAATATAAAATATTTATGAATATAAATATGGAAAATTAGTTTAAGTTGCTACTACATTTGGATAAGATTATGCTGTGTTTGAATGAGGACCTCAAATTGATGTACTTGACATATTTTATGACGAATAATGAGTACCATTTAAATCATTACTGTAAACAACTAAATGATACTGACTTTTGAAAGTGCATTATTACTGGAATTAAACTATTGAGTTTGCATTTTTGGACCATCAAATAAGTAAATTAAATTCCACATTAGTAAGAGTTTTCGTCTACAATATCGTGGGGAAAAAATCGTGGTGTTTGTGTATATTTACTATATTTAATTAAAATATTCGAGAGAGTTTAAATAAAATATCTGCGACAGTTAAGTAACACCATTCGAACTAATCTGTAAAAAATTACGGATCAAGATACTGAATAAAGTACAGGAACATCCTTCTTAAAATCAATTTTACCATAAATCCATTTTTACCGGAAAATATTATACCGTAATTTTTGCAGTAATAATTATCTGATTAGAATGATTAAATGATTTATGGTAATTATTACTGTAAAAATTATGGTGTATCAGATTTTTTGTTCCGTTGCATGTTCCGGTAAGAATGGATTTCACGGTAAAAAGTACTGCCACCCTGAGTGAAAGTACTTTTTACCGTAATCTGAAATGGAGTTTTTCACATTTTTTAATATCCTTCACATATTTTGTGCATTTCTCTTTTATTGATTTTAATATAATTAATAATATAAAATTACCATTAATAATGACAAATTAACTTTTAATAAACCTTCATGAAATATTTTTATAAATGCAGATGACAAGTTCTAGAGATATTTGTCGTTTTTTTAAGCGTATACAACAAGGCGGCATATTTTTTTGCCAAACTTAGTTTATAATACCATTTGATTTCGTTATTCCTCAACATAATGTCACATGAGTTAGGCGCAGAATAGCCAATTCAAGCTCCTTTGCCATTTACATTTAAATTAGTCAAAGTCAGTTATACTTAATAACAAGTAAAATACATTACAATATAATCAATAAATTTAAAAAATATATTTTTTAAGTAGATCAGTATACAAGTTAACGAAATAAAATATTTGTGATTTAAAATCAAAAAGCATTTTAATTCAAATATGTCACGACCAAAATTCATTTTGATTAAAACTCATAATAATTAAAACCTCTTTTTTATTTAATTTTTTTTACGGAAGAATAATTATTTTTTTATATTTACGTAGTATGTACTTACAATTATTAAGTGCTTATTACAATGCTTGTGGAATCAAAAATCTGAAATTTATTGCTTTCTGCAAGCATTTAAGCCCTACAGGCGTTATAATGTTTTAATTTTTGTATTACTTTTTGCGAGGATTTAAAAAAAAGTATACCTTAAGAAATATGAGTTATATATGAAAAAAATAAATACTGTAGTCATATAAATTAATCCTTTTTTTTTCTCAAAACTTGATTAACTTTTTGTTGATATAACAACTAAAATGTTTCAGAAAAATTACAATTGAGAGAGAAAATTATATATAATTAGAGGTAGAAAGATTTATGAAAAATACTAAGCGCAAGATGTGCAGTTACAAAATCTAACCAAAATTTAATTAAAGCCTTTATTGAACTCAAAATGGGCCAACTAAAATAGAAATATTAATATTATTTTATGAAATTATGTGTTTTAAAAAAGTTTTTACGCGTTCAGTCATGGGTTGAAATAATTTCCAGCTAATTTATAAGAATTAGATATTTTTTTACATTTATTTGATTTGTTAGAAATAATTTATTTCGAATAATACTATACGAAATTGAACAGAAATGTTTGCTATTGTGCGAAATAGCAAGTTTCTTTCAAAGCAAAGATTAACCTCCTTGGTTATAAAAAAATAATACTGCAAAAAAATTGAATTTTTAATAGAAATATGTCCTCTACCATACGGATATAAAATTAAAATAATTTTAATGGAGAATTTATCAAAAAATTTAATTGAAAAATCAATCGTCTGGCACTTCAATTAAACAAAGTTATTCAATATTTTTCGCAGTCAGTTATCTTCATTTCGTAAAAAAAATTGCTTTTTACAATCGGTTGCCATAGTAACGGGAAAAAAAGAGAATCATATTGAAAGAGAATTAGACATCTTATTTTTTATCTTATAACCGTCGTTGAACAGCCGACCCAATTTCATGACTTTACGCCTTGTAATTTTGAACCCAATCCAGAAGATAAGGGAACTCCTGGATCGGTATTGGGAAAAATTTGCCTTCGTGGAGGACTTTTTGATGGAGCTAACCCGCATTTGCGTTACATGGAGGAGAAGACCACGAGAACCTCCCACGGTTAGCCTGACCGCAGGGGGACTCTAACCCATGATCTGTCTACCACTGAGGATATTTCACGTCAGCACTGTGGTCGGTGCAAGCCGGATGCGGAATTCGTATCGACTAGGATTCGAACCCAGTTCGCCTCATAGGAAGGCGAACGCTCTATCCCCTGAGCCATCGCGGCTCAGAATGAGATATTTATATAATTTTTTGAAATAAACGAATTGAAACGTCCCATTCTCCTATAACTAAAATTGCACTTTTATGGTTGCAGGTACACGGAATGCTCTTTTTCTCTTAAAATAGTAGGTAATAGTAGGCTAGTAAGGGAAAATAGTTCAATGACTTATGTTTTTCAAAAGTACTGGACGATTTGTTTCTGTTATTAAATTCTTTACTAAATTTTCCACTTAATACTGTTTGTATTTTTATCTCTGTATGGCGGAAAAAGTAATTTAGTTTGAAATTAAAATTTTATCTTTGCAGATTTATTTTTTTGTTTATAACATGAATTTTATCATTATTATTTTCTTTTAAAAGTACTTATTATTCCATGCAAAACCATAATTCAATTTCCTGCATTGATTGTTGATAGATATATTATTTTAATAAATGAGGCCAAACATTTTCAATTGCTTATAACAAACTAGCATTTTTTTCTTCCTTTTTTGGAATATTAATCTGACCCAAGACAAATCACATCACATTCTATATAAATCACTTTGTTTAACAAAACAATATTAGCTTTAAATTTTCCTGTTACAGTTGAGAAATTTTGTTTCAATTGAGTCACACAATCGCAATAAATTTATTAAAGAAAAATAAACTTAATCACAATTCGAGAATAGTTTCAGTAACCAAACTTAATTGCTCCACTGATATTATTTTATTTTATTTCGTTTTGGATTTTTTTATATGCATTAAATAGAGATTTAATAATTTTTAAATCTTGTTTGACATAAGTTTGAGATTTGTTTTCTTTTGTGTTATTATCGTTAAGAAATTGAGGTCATCGCAACTGGTTTCCCTTAAAGAAGATTGAAGTCAAGGGGTGCGTCAAATAGCCATTGTTTTGATTCAAATATATGAAAATTAGAATGAAAAATAAGTATACATAAAAGAACTCGTTGAATATAATCTTTTCATGTTTTTAATGTTTGGTGATAGCTTATAAACTTAGCACTTTTTCAACGATCTGTAAGTAATGCATTTGGGGTATCAATACACACAAATGACGGCTTATAAATTGAATTCAGAAGAGAAATTGCTTACAAACTACACTGTGAAAACCGTGGTGTAATATCTGGCAGAAACAACCCAAAGAAATTGTGGGAAAGAACGCTTTATTTACCCCTTAACGATCGGTTAATTTTCAAGAAAACGGTCATAAAAGGGCTTATTTTTAAGCTTTTGCATTTATATTACGTATTTGATTAGTGCTGAAATCTAGTTTAAAATAAACTAACTATCCATAATTACCCTAAAAAATATCCTGGTACTGCTGTCTGGTGTGTAAAATGAGAAATAAAATGTTTTCTGGGCAAAGGAAATGAATTAGTTATATTCTTATTGGCGCTTTGCTACTGAACACTCCAGCCCGTCAATATCACGGGAGCGAGAAATTGTGGGCGAAAACTCACCCCGCCATTTTCACGGGAGCGAGAAGGAAGGGGTTAATGGGTTAACACCAAATCAAGGTTTCATATACGATTTAAAAGATGTAATTTAAACTTAAACCATTATAATGGAATAGTCTTACACTAAAATTTCACTTTATCACACTATAGGAGCATTATTTTCACTTTCGTAAACACCAATGTTGGCGAGCTTTGAATAGCAAGAATTCGACAAGCGTCAAGTAGAGTATCGCCAGTATTTTGTTTACATTCTGGAATGAGCTGGCGAGTGTTTGTTTTTTCTTTCAACGGCGATATTCATCAACAGAAATGAAAATTTGCTGCCTTTAAATATGTGACCAAACTTTAAAATAAAATAAAAAAATCGGTGCTTAGTTGCCATTAGTTGTGCTGAATGTTTACAAGAAAAAAAAACAAGTGTTTGTAAGAATGATGTCATGAGTAACGCCATAAAAATGTCACGGCAAAAAGAAAGTTTTATCATCTAAGTTATGAGCATGCGTATGTTTAATTATACAATTCGCTATTTCCATAAAAAATATTAAATTTATTGAATTTATCAATTTTCTAATATTGCACATGAATGTTATAATAGTTCATAAGATATAATTTATGGTATAGTGCTTAGTTCCAAACATGTCTAAAAATCGTACTGCAAATTTTTAAATCTTGAAAACAGATAAAATAAGAGAAATCGCATTCACATGATTACCCACTACGTACATTATAATTAATTTCATTCCAGCTGTTATTCACATTCTTAGAGATAATTTGTAATGACAAAAGAATAAATAAAAGTAAATACCGAATAAGGCCCTTCATCGACGAAATATTCAACAGTGCTGAACGGTCCATACTGATCTTTGTCAACAGCTTTGATTCCCTGGATGACTGTTGATCCCACTACAGTAACCTATAAATAAATATATTTTTTATGATTTTATTTTAAAAAATAAGAATTTTGAACAAAAATTTAAACAAATGAATTGCCTCTGATTAAAAACACAAATTTTGAACTGAGGATTAGATTGATGAAGAAAAAAAAACGAAGAATATCACTTGGATTTATGATAAGCTTTAACTCATAATTATCATAAGCTTTTTCTCTTGTTAGCTCATATGAGTTTCTAACTTTTTTTTAAATAAAAGTAAAGCCTGATAGTTACAACTTTCAAAGTACCGTTTTCCTTAATAGTCGTCATAGTTTCAATTAAATGTAAACAACAAAGTTTCAACGAAAATGCAGTTCTTTAACTTCATCTCTAATTATATCACATAAAATGTTGTTTAAAAATTTGAATTCCAAGTATCAAAACTTACTTCACTGATATTGACACTGTATGGCGCACCAACAAACATTGGCGCATTATCATTGGCGTCGGTGACAATAATCCTAACAGGTATTGTTATGCTCTGAAAAGAAACAAAAAAAAGTAAGTTTTATAAGCAACTCAGAGAAATTTCAGAAGCTCTTACAACTATGATAATAAATTTAACGCTATATTATTAAATTTATATGAATCAAACTTTTACAAACTGAATTCACATGAATCCAGTCTATATAAATCAAATTTAGCATATCATTCACTATAAATAAATTCTAAATGAATTACTTTTTATAAATGAAATTAAATAAAACATATAGTAATATATAACAATTTGGTGCACAGAAGAAAATAGATGCTCACATTTTACGAAACTTTCTTCGTTTTTGACGAAACTATTTCCTGGTATATGCTTCGAGCGAAATTTTCGTCAAAGTGACGAAACTTCTTCGAAGAAACGAATTTCATCATAATTAACGAAATATTTCGTCATTCTACTTTTTTCCCCCCCAAAAAAATGCATTCGTGAGCTCCATGTAGGTGGATCATTGTTTTCCAGACAACAGAAGAAAGATAGATAGAACAGAGAGATAAATTACACAGATGCCTTTAAGCGGGATTCGACATCTTGACTACCATAGAGACCGATCGGTTTGTTTCGTGACTTTATTTTCGATAGCCTGGTCTTCTAGTTTCGACATTCTAGTAAGCAATCTCCCAGAATACACTGTGATGAGGTTTCAAGTTAAGGAAACATTTTCGTCATATATTTGAGAGTTCGCGCTTTGTCACAAACTACGTGGTTTCATAACGAAATGAAAATCGCAAAATAATGCTCAAAATTAACGAAATACAGCTCAAGGATTGCTGAATCATCGAAAGTAAGAATTATATTTCTAGGAGTGTGTATAAAAAAATGCATAAAATGATGTGTCTCGTGGGTGTTTTAATTAATCTTTTATTAATGGTTAACACTGCTATGCAACTTTTCATTTTTATTTTAGTTTCTGTTTTAGTTAAAAAGTTGGCATATTTCCCAAGAAAATTTTTCTAAAAATATCTATCGCTAATAAATACGATATTTAAAAAAACTGAAGTTTTGCTAAAATAAAATGGTATGTTCCTGAAAGAGACGTTGAAATTATTTTTTTGATAAATTTTGTTTATACAAAAAAAAATCCCATACTAATTCTAAACTTAAAAATTCGTTATAATTCATGTTTTTCACGTTTTATTTTTTCAACAAATTATTTTTAAATATTTTAAAAAAGTGTACATTTTTCATGATTTTAAGCAATGCAATTTTAAATGAAAAATTCCCAAATTTAAACGTAATTTGGCACAACAGTATGTATTTGAAATTAACAGTAAATAAAAACAAAAAAATTGAAATATTTGAAAAAAATGCTTCAAAAATTAATTTCTGTTTATAAAATCACCAGACGTTGTGCTAACAATAATTTACGCTGCATATAAATGACTATTCGTTAGCCATATTCTTCATATAATAAGCATAAAAAGAGTAAAAACCTTAAATAAAGTAGAAAAACTAGACTCATGTTGCAATTTTAACATAACGCATTTATTGCTGTTGAGGTATACTAAATATATTTTTAAAGAACTGCATAAAATTATATATAATTAGCAAAATGAAAATTCTTGGAAGGAATTGGATTAATATATCACTAAAAAGGGAGCTTGATTTTAAAATTAAATGTTTAAGCAATGAAGTTATAAATTGATTCTGATGCGCATGACAATATGTGTAGTTAACAAGTAAACAAAATAAGGAATGGATAAATAAATAAAACTATAGCAGTGGAAAAGTAAATAAAAAATGCGACAACATGTAGAAATATTTTTGTTTACTTCAATGCAAAAAATGGATGTTAAACAATATCCTTATTACTAAAAAGTCACTACCTAGTTTTTACAATGTAAAAAACATTGTTTAACATTTTACTTTACTAATATTTTCTTTGTATTTATTGACATTCAATTATAAAGAAATAGCAATGAGCACTGCTAAACATCATGCCTGATTTGTCGATTTTATGAATCATTTCAGTCATAAAAACTTCTTAAATATACATATTACTTGAAAAATGACTCGAAAATGTTACTAAATGAGCATAGAACATCAAAAGAAAGCGTTTTGGCTGCCTAACCATGGTCATGGCCTAAAACGCATCACCAAAATGACAGACAAAAAAATTTTAATCGAACAAAAAAGAAAAGTCTCCCCCGTAAATTATGCCAATTAGGATCCCAAATCCAGGTTACGACAAACTCCTGTTGCCATAAATAAAATGTACATTGAAGAATAAATTCACCAAAAAGTAGATCCTCTTTAGTACGCTTGAACGCTTTGTAGTTGCTTTCTTTCAAAAAGACAAAGATTTTGAGAAGAAATCGTCCGAATTGGACTCAATATTTGATTATAAGTTGTAGAAAATAAAATTGAAAATTACGCATTTTTCACATTTTAAAGTAAAGCAATCTGAAACAAAACATCTGTATTTCATTTTGTTTTGAAGGAAGAGTTGATAAGTACAATATAATTTGGGCAATTTCGAGAAGATAAATTATAGGCTTCATTTTTATTGTTATTTTAATGGTTTAAAATAAACAATTGTAAAGTAAAAATGTAGCTCATTTTTTATTCTTTTTTAAACATCTGAAAATGTGCCAAAAAAGCAATTTCAAAATTTCAAACTGTTTTATTTATGTATTTTTTATTATTTTCCTAAATTATTTGTATGCTATTATTTTCACGCTGTTAAACAGAAATTAAATACGACTGCGAATTCAAATTATTATTCCAATGAAATTAATATTCTAATAATTAAAATTCTAATAAAATTACCATTCTATAGGGTAATGGCATTTCTGGTGAAAAAAGTTATTCCATAATTTGTAAAACCAAACTATACGGTATTTAAACGAATCATTTGGTAATTTTTCCTTTCATATGTGAATGATTTACCGGAAATTCTGTTTTTTTTTAAAAATAAAACCAAAATATACGGTATTTAAACCAATCATTTGGTAATTTTTCCTTTCATATGCTAATGATTTACCGGAAATTCTGGTTTTTTAAATTATAGCTCTTATTATCACAGTTTTATGAAAAAATAGAAAACTTAAAAGGAAATTTAACCAAATACATAGTTGTTATGCAATGCTTTAAACTATTTAAACTATTTACAGCATTTACTAAATTTTTTCATATATTATTAAACCATACTTTATTGTTAATTTTATCTAAAATCATTACCAAAGTGCTTCGAAAAAAATGCCGAACTTTTTTTATCCCATTGAGCCAGAAATACGGTAAATTTTATCATATTCTGGTAATACAAACCATATATTTTTCTCAGTGCGAAAAACTTTCGTTTCGCATTAATATTTGCAGTTATTTAAAAAATATCCGTTGAAAGAAGTAGATAATAATAAAAAAAATGAAAATAAAAAAAGAATAGAAACACTTCTAGTGTAACTTAAAGTGACTGTTTTGGATTTAGAATCGTTAAGACTTTCATGTGCTAGAATCGTTATGACCTTTAAGTATGGAGATAGATTGAGATCCACAATTATGTCTACATTTCCCTGGAATCCATTTAAGACAAATTGTTTAAAATAAAAATCTAAAAAAAAATAATTAAGTCAATATCTTTCAAAAGAAATTCTAAAAATAGTTCAGGAAAAACCAAAAAACAGTTTATTTTTTAAAACTCAGTTTTCAATGATGAATTTATCTGATTTTAAACTCTAGCGACTCATAAATTTAATCTGTTCACCGTTATATTTCATTTTATAGCCGGCGTTCAACACCAGATCCAATTCTGAGTTTACGACCATAAATGAACATCTTCATTTTCTTGTATTTTTGAACCCGACCTAAAAGACAATGGAACTCCTAGAGCCGTGATGGCGCAGGGAATAGAGCGTTCGCCTTCCAATGAGGTGAACCGGGTTCGAATCCCAGAGATGGCTGGCAGATACGAATTTCGCATCCGGCTTGCACCGACCACAATACTGGCATAAAATATCCTCAGTGGTAGACGGATCATGGGTCAGAGTCCCCTTGCCGTCAGACAAGCCGTGTGAGGTTTTCGTGGTTATCCTCCCCATGTAACGCAAATGCTGGTTCGCTTAATCAAAAAGGTCTCCCCGAAGGAAAATTTCTCCCAATACTTGATCCAGGAGTTCCCTTGTCTTCTGGATTGGGTTCAAAATTACAAGGCAAAGTTGAACATAAGTAGTCGTAAATCCAAAAAATTGGGTCTGCTGTTCAACGACGGTTATAAAATGAAATAATATAATACAAAATAAAATTTTAAAAATTGGAATTCTTATATCAAGCAATGAGACAAACTAACCTTTGTGGAGCATTTTTTGATGAAACTAACTCACATTTGCGTTACATGGAGAAGAAAACAACAAAAACAGTCACGATTACCCCTTACAATAAAGGTATTCTATCCCATGATCCATTCACCACTGAGGATATTTTACGTAAGTACTGCGGTCAGGTGCAATTAATCCTTAATCAGAGTTCGCATCAACCAGCCACCGGTGTGATCCGAACCTGTGTCACCTCATTCGGAGAAGAATGCTTTATCCCCTGACCCACCGCGGCTCCAAATCACCATTACATTAATCACAACTGCTAACATGAAGTGGCGTAGCTAGTGGGAAGGGGGCAATAGGGAGCGTAGGTCCCCAGGCGAAGCCTTACAGAGGGGCCTAATTCATGAAAAATAGTTAAAAATGAATTCCAGGGTAAAGTAGGCTGTAACTCTAGGCTAGAACTCAAGGCTAGTACTAGTACTCAGGGTACTCTAGTCTGTAAGAAATTCCGCATCAAATTACAGAGACTTTTGGTGTATTATCCATAAAACCCATTTTCACCATAAAATATTAAACTATAAGTTTTACAGTAATATCTATTTAATTAGAGTGATTCGGTGATTTTACTATAATTATTACTTTAAAAATTGCGGAGCATCATATTTGTTTGTTCTGTAACATGTTTCGGTAAAAAATGATTTTAAGGTAAAAAGTATTGGCACCCTGAGTGCCTAT